TCTGTACTGTCACAAATAATGCTTGCTTGTAGTTAATCCTATATAATGTTCTTAATATTACTGTCAGATCTTAGCATTAAACTGCAGCAAAACTTAAATAATCTTTTCTGTCTCTCTCTCTCTTTCTTTTTTTTTGTAAATACAGTGCTGACCGTTTATTATCATACCCTCGGTCCAGGATGATATTCTGACTCTATCCAGGATATTCCAATAAGCAGGCTTCAAGACGGACAGACAGTTTGGGAATAAGTCAGTAAAGCAGATCTCAAGTGAGCAGGTAAGTGACAAACAAACAAACACATTGTTTTCCACGGCTGACCTGGGTGTGATAATCTGCCACGCATGACCGACACTTGGCCAGTGAGCCGTAACGATCGGCCAACCATGACTTTAAACGGGCAAAAGTTATTTCTGGAATCAATTTCCGGGAATTTTGTTGTGACAAAACCAGGATTGTGACTTTATTCTATGACAATAAATGGGCTGTTTTACTATAGGTTATATAGGAAATGATTGGGGACTTCGATATTTTCTGATTATAAACGGAATATTTTATAAAGCGTTATGGCAATAAGTGGGCAGCACTGTACAAGCAATTTTACAACTTTATTGTAAATACCAGACATTTTTGTTCCTTATTTCTTTGAGCAGTATGATTTTTTTTTTTTGCACAGTTATCTTATTTTAGCCTAAATCATGGCGGCACATGGACGCCCCTTCAGGAGACAGCGAGAGTGAACGTTTAGCGTCTTGCCTATCCCAGATGTGCATTCCGCAAAACGTACTAATTAAATTATCCTGAAGAAATTCTCTCTCATCTTGCCTGTACAACTGTGTATGTACAGCAAAAATGACAATAAACTTGATTTGATTTGATAAATGTATCATTTGCGACCTCTTTGATACCTTAAATTTCCTCATGGGGATGAATACAGCATCTATCAATCTTAATATTTATTAAACAGGTGAATTTGTGTTTTATATCATTTTGTAGGGTTTTACCTGCATTATTTAAGTCACTCAGGTAAAGTCCCATCAGCCACAATGTCCTTAACCTCAGTGTTTAAACTTGTTAGGTCAGCTTTTAACAATCTTCTATCAAATATGTTGTATCAGTAAAGGTGGAGGTATGACATATGAATTAACTGTGAAATTAACTGCCCATGTTTTTATTTAGGCCTACGTTCTCCACTGTGCTCTGTAACATTACACTGTTTGAATCAGTAGATAATTTAATAGGTTTAAAGCTTGAAAAATAACTTCTTCTTTTCTTTTTCTTTTCACCAACATTTTCTGATGCAAGACAGAAAAAAGTCTAAATTGACAGCACTTCCAAATATAACTTTTTAGTTTAAAATTTTCTGGGTTTTTTTTGTTGTTCTTGTTTTTTTGTTTGTTTGTTTTTTGTTTTGTTTTTTTTAGATTTTTTTCAAAGTAGGCATACATTTATAAAATGATTATAGAGTGTGCTTTTGCTTGTTTTACATTTTTACAGAATCAGAATTCGATTTATTACCAAGGAAGTTTTCACATATGAGGAATTTGAGGTTTTCCTTTACTTGTGGTGCATAGACAGTGACCGGTAGAAAGTTCAAAGGAGAATAAAAGCTTTTTAGTGTTACAAGTCAAAGAAAGTCAGATGTAACAACAAAAAGCTACTCCAAAGTATAAAGTCTAGTAGGAAAAATGTTATGATGTTATTTAATTGAGACAGCTTTACAGGTTGTAGAGGAATGTGCTAATTATTTACCTTGAAATGTGCAAAATGTCATGGTATATTGTATAGTAAATTATACTTTACAGCAACTTAATAATCTTGTGTAAAAGCTGATAATCTATTTTAAAATATATTTCACAGTTTGTGTGCTAAAGTAATATTGCCTATAATCACATATTACCCCTATAAAGGTTGAATTAAGAATAACAAAAATACAAATAAAAAGTGAAAATGTGAAAAGTATACATTGGAAAATTTATCATCCATCCATTATCTGTACACCGCTTAATCCAGGTTGTTATTGTAAATGAGAATCTGTTCTCAATTAACCCACCTGGTTAAATAAAGGAAAAATACATAAAAATACAAATAATCTTCACTAGGGCCACGGGAGGCTGGAGTCTATCCCAGGACAGGTCACCAGTCTATCACAGGGCTACACTTAGAGACAGACAACCAAGCACACTCACATTCACACCTACGGACAATTTAGAATCATCAGTTAACCTCAACATGTTTTTGAACCTTGTGGGAGGAAGCCAGAGAACCTGGAGAGAACCCACGCTGCACGGGGAGAACAGGCAAACTCCACGCAGAAAGGTCCCGGTGTTCTCACCGGGACACGAACCAGCGACCTTCTTGCTGCGAGGCAACGATGCTAACCACTGAGCCACCTTGCAGCCCAACATTTATCATGATTTTTTTTTTTTAGTGAAATACCTTCTTTATGATGCTAAACCTGATAGTCACCTGCCAATATAGCCTAAATGCTCAAACGCTCGACTTTTATTTTGAAACAACCAGATGGATGCGTTTGTTTCGTCGAGTCCGCCTTGATCCTTCAACGTCAACACACACGCTCGCAGACACAAGCCACACACACACACACACACACACACACACATGCACACACACACATGCACACACAAACAGACACACACCTTCGCAGCCTCGGTGAGCTGGCCTGATTGACCCGCTGGAGACAGGGAAGCCTCCACACTCACACGGCTGTCGGCGCTGCACTTGTTATCACGGCAGAGGTGAGAAAACAAACCCTTTTTTTTTGTTTATTTTCCATAAACTGCTCATTTATTTGAGATGTCACGTGTTGTTGTTTATTTGTAGCCTTGTTAAAGATCCAATGTTGTTATTGCAGCCTGCGTTCAATCTGACCAATTGGGTAACTTTTTGGGCATCAAATTATTATAGACTTAGTAAATAAATCTGAGTCAATTAGTTTGAGTTGAAGAATACTCTAAAACAGTCGTGGCTTTTTGTTGCATGCTTGAGTGGAAGTTTAGTCTTGACTCTTAAACAAACTTAGATAAGAAGAAGTGGGATTTTTTTATTTTTTTATTTTTTGGCTCCTGATCACATATTTACCGTCAAGGTGTGCGTCTGGAGCCTTAACAGGGCAGAACCCGGATTTTGGAGCACCGTGTAGTAGTAGTAGTGAAAGGAAGCTGGCGTGTTTACTTTTTTGGGAAGGGGTGTCCTGGTGATAAAGCATAAGGTAATTAGCCTATCTGAGGCTGCAGACTGAGTGACGCCAGCCTCCATAAAGCAGCAGCAGCAGCAGCAGAGGACTGATGCCGCATTGAGCTTGTGCGCTTTCTTTCGCTGTCATTGTAAACCTCAGCTGTCTGCGGGGGAAAAAACCAGCGCTGCTCACACTCCTGCCAACAAGCCAGAGAGCAGGATGTAGGTATGCTGATTCACAATACTTATTACCTGTGTTTATTCTCAGATGCATCTCACTGAGAAGCCACAAATTGAGGAAGAAAACCCCAGTGTGGTTCTTTTCTGTGTTTTTGGATGTATTTACTAAAGGTTGTGGTTCCAAGTCACCTTTGTGAACTCTTAAATCTGCCAAGACTGTTTTTATTTTTACATTTTTTTTGTCCTCATCAGATGCACATAAATAAACAGAAGCCTGCAATCCGGCATGCAAGAGTGATTTACAGTAATAGTACAGAACGTGTCAGACAGGATGCTGTAAAGACTGAAAGAAGATCATAAAAAACATCTCAGACACACTTTTCTTGCATTAGATGCTGCTGGAGTGATGCACACCAAAAGATTCTGTTATGTCACTTGGAATCAACCTAAATGATAAAATATACACTTTTCTGTTTTCATTTGTAATTTTCAATCCTATTTCAGTAGACAGAGAGACACAAACACAGGCAGAGCTCTCTCTCTCTGTCTGTCTCCCTCTCTCCCTCCCTCCCTCTCTCTCCCCCTCCTGTCCTGTGATGTGTTCTGGCCAGACAGTATGGCTCCTGGGCGTCAGTGGCATGATCATAGAAACAGAGGCCAGAAAGGACATTCCTCATTGTTGGTGAATCTAGAAATGAGCTTGGCCATCTTGACTTGCTCTTTTTTTTTTTTTCAAACAGTTTTGTTTCATTTTCTCCATGGAGAATAATAACATTGCTGTTCAAGCATGTGTCCTGCTGATACAACCTCCTTATCATGGAAATCCACCTCTAAAGACCAGTTCATTAAATATGAGTAGATTTTGGTGAAGTGCTGTCCAGTGTTTGATTTCACTCTGGCCAGCCAGGCCGGCTTATCACCTCAGCGACTCTGGCTTCGTTCTCCTTACAAAATAAAACCCCAAAGTCTGCTTTTTTTTCTCCCCCCTAACCTCCCAGCTTCTCTCCAACAATGCATCTGTTTTGGCTGAATTGTCAGTTAATACAATGTCTCACTTCTCTTGCCAGATGATTGAAACTTGACCTGGATTTCTGGCTGTGTGAGGAATAACCTTCCCTGCAGGAGGCTTCGGATCCAGAGCTGCCGGATCCCTTCTGTGCCAACTCAGAGAGGGGATTTAGAGTTTGCGCTGCGCTGGCAGGAGTCCATCTCCTCCACCAGAGTTGCTCGGAAGTAAAAGCGGAATACAAAAAAGAAAAAGAAAAAAAAACAGCCTCTGTTTACACAGACTCATCACGCTACCTCTTTTATCCTTACCCGTCTTTGTGTCCTGGCTACTCATTATTTGCTGCCTCCTTACTCCTGTCCTCAAGGGAACTTTTATCCCTTTAACAGCCGCCATCAGCTCATCTTGCCACCCATTTACCCATCCCATAATGAACTCCTCTACCTCCATTACGTCCCTCTTCTCCTTCACCAGCCCGGCAGTGAAGCGTCTGCTCGGCTGGAAACAAGGAGACGAGGAGGAGAAGTGGGCGGAAAAGGCTGTAGATTCTCTGGTGAAGAAACTAAAGAAGAAGAAAGGGGCGATGGAAGAGCTGGAGAGAGCCCTCAGCTGCCCGGGGCAGCCCAGTGAGTATCACAGTGTACAAGTTTAGTCTAGTGGCTCACAATGCAAAGAGTGACAACATAATGCCTGACTTTAGATGATTTACAGGATGAAAAATAACATACAAAAAAATAATGCAGTGCTCTGTTTCTTGTAAAGAAATGTGATGCTATTAACTCTTTTCATATGCAACATGTGATGAGGGGTCACAAGTGATTTATTTTTAGAGGTTATAAGGTATAAATGTTGAAAACCACAAACTGAGTCAGTGAAGAAGATGTCACTTGTCAGTTTTCTTGCACAAGTCCTAAAAACTCCTGCTCTAACAATATAAGGGGGAAAGTACTTAAAACCTGAAATTCACACCTGATTCAAATGATCAGGATCGTTATCCGGCTTCTGCAGAGCTTGATGATTAGCTGATCATTTGAATCAGGTGTGTTGGAAGAAGGAAACATCTAAAACTTGCAGGATTGCGGCCCTCGAGGACCGGGGTTGGAGACCCCTGATTTAAACACTTCAGCTGATTCCATGTAGACTTTCATTAAAAGTGCATGAGTGGTCGTAACTGTATTACAGGAAATACAAGACATAGCACCATAAAACAGCTTCTCATGATGAACCCTATTCAGGACTTTGGGGGTCTTTTGGACCCCAGGCCATTTGGTTTAGGTGACAAGTATAGTTTTTTATTTTTGAAGGTTTTTTAAAAATATAATAGGGACATTTGTCATGCATTTGGAACCAAAAATACTCCAACTTATCAGAAAATTTAACATAGTGTAAAAGTCTATAATGAATACCAACAAATATTTTGCACATATTCTTTCTTGGGGTCCAATGGACCCTGAAAGACCTTCTACGTATGGCAACATAAAAGTCCTGAACCAGGTTAAAGCTCCAGTTTTATAAATCTGTACTAAGGACTGTGTTGTTTCATTTTTTCCCTTGAGGTAAGTGCGTGACGATTCCCCGGTCGCTGGACGGCAGGTTGCAGGTGTCCCACAGGAAGGGTCTTCCCCACGTCATCTACTGCCGGGTGTGGCGCTGGCCCGACCTGCAGTCTCATCACGAGCTGAAAGCCCTCGAGTGCTGCGAGTTCCCCTTCGGCTCCAAGCAGAAGGACATCTGTGTCAACCCTTACCACTACCGACGCGTGGAGACTCCAGGTGCACACATTAGAGAGAGAACACATGCTAAATTTGCTGTAGAAATAAAACCGTTATTGAATTTTAGAATCATAACAGTAAAGCTTTTGTGAATTCTTAAATAGATACAGGGCATCTGATCTAATAATGCTCCCCAGCCAAAAGCATTTGCAGTAATGTGATCTTTTATAGCAGCATCTGGCTCTCGCTCTGGGTCTCTCTTTGTCTCTACCTCTTTGTTTTTTTTTCCTTTTCTCTCGTCTCCTCAGTGCTGCCACCCGTCCTGGTCCCACGCCACAGCGAGTTCAACCCTCAGCACAGTTTACTGGCCAAGTTCAGGAACGCCTCCCTGCACAACGAGCCCCTGATGCCCCAGAACGCCACCTACCCGGACTCCTTCCCCCCGCTGCCCTGCTCCTCCTTCTCCTCCTCCTCCCCTTCTTCTTCATCCCTCGCCCAGTCTCCTACCTCGCAGAGTTACCCCAACTCCCCCAACAGCTCAGCAGAACCCGGTAGTCCGTATCACATCACAGGTGGGAATCAAAAACATGCAAGCTGATACTTTAAGTGTCACCGTTTACTGTGGAATTTTTTAAAACGCATACGAGCGAGCAGGTTCGCAATGGCTGTAGCAGATCTCAGCTTTAAGCGTGACCTCATGGTTTCTGATGAGAGCGCGTGAATTAGGTTTTTTTTTTTTTTCCATTCATTCTCTTGTGTGATTTCTGACATGTTTTTCCAGCTGAGACTCCTCCACCTCCGTACAGCATGATGGAGACAAACAGTCAGGAGGATGTGAAGCCCAGCAACTCCACAGAAACCACAAAACTCACATTTTCCGCTCCACACAGAGGTAACCTAACCTCACACAACACTGAGATATACAGTTATTTAACATTTCTTCATCAAAGGAGGCACAAGTAGATTTGTTATTATCAGAATGAGGTTTAAGTTGGATTTGTATCTCTTAAGTCGACCCTTTGTTGCGATCCTCTTTAGATTTAAGGCCTGTTTGTTACGAGGAACCCGAGTACTGGTGCTCCATAGCTTACTATGAGCTCAACAACCGGGTGGGGGAGACTTTCCACGCCTCGTCCCGCAGCGTCCTGGTCGACGGCTTCACAGATCCATCCAACAACAAGAACCGCTTCTGCCTCGGCCTGCTTTCCAACGTCAACCGCAACTCCACCATCGAGCACACACGCAGACACATAGGCAAAGGTAGGCTGGGCAAACTCTTGCAGTATTTTTGTGTCCCAACATGTGCTTTTGCATAATTTTTTCATGGATTTTATGCAGGCTGTACCCAACATGCATCAGTAAGTAAAGGAATACAATCACAAACTTGTTTCGGTCGATAGCCAGAGCGTGTGTGTGTGTGTGTGTGTGTGTGTGTTCGCCTCTGAAACCAACCGCATCTAATCAGGTTCAGTGCGTCTCATTGTGATGAATCTTTCAAACTAAAATGATGTTTTTTTTCTCCTGGTGAGGGTTTACAAAGCTTACTGTTGTTGGACGGACATCAAGCGTTTTTTCGGGTTTACAATAAGCTATGCGCTGTAAGGATGTGTGTGGTTTTGAATGATGGGGGGAACACAAAGAGTTGAGGGTAGCTGGTCCCCAATTCACAGACACCACTCAAACATTCCTTATTTACAAGCAGAGAAGCCCTTGTGGTTTCCCTGTGGCAAAATATGAGAAAAACTCTGCATTTTCCATTTGTTTACAATGCACTTATTGAATTATGTGGGCTATGTCATTGATTATATGTTTGCTATACATCTTTTCTCAGATAGTTTAAGGTTTGCATTTGCACCACAGTAAACACACGAGGCTTGTTTTCTCAACACTGACGTTGATTCATTCAGTAGCTTTCATCAGATAAGAGTATTTCTTTTTCCTCATTCCCAGGCCTACACCTGTACTATGTGGGCGGCGAGGTGTACGCGGAGTGCCTGAGTGACAGCAGCATCTTCGTCCAGAGCCGTAACTGCAATTTCCAGCACGGCTTCCACGCCACCACCGTGTGTAAAATCCCCAGCGGTTGCAGCCTCAAGATCTTTAACAACCAGCTGTTTGCTCAGCTTCTGGCCCAGTCCGTCAACCACGGCTTCGAGGTCGTCTACGAGCTCACTAAGATGTGCACCATCCGCATGAGCTTCGTCAAGGTACGGCGCTTCCTTCTAAAACCAAACATCCGGGGATAATAGTGACAGAAAGGCAGACGGTGATCATCCATTCCTTCTTAAAACCCCACATAGCTTAAAGAGAAGGGTTTATATCCACTCGGGGTTTCTCAGTGTAACCTAATATGCTGTTATGTAAATCTTAATGTGCTGTCGAGCATGTCAAATCCCACTATATACAAGGTGGGATTACACTTGTTCATTTAGCAACCATTACTTTTAATGCTTAACCGAGCTGCCAACATACCCAGCTGAGATTTATGGTCGTGTCCATTCCTCAGGGCTGGGGTGCTGAATACCACCGTCAAGACGTCACCAGCACCCCCTGCTGGATTGAAGTGCACCTGCACGGGCCCCTGCAGTGGCTGGACAAAGTCCTCACACAGATGGGATCCCCACACAACCCTATTTCTTCAGTGTCCTAACATCATCACACACACACTTTTTGATTTTTTTTTTAAAGTGTGTGTTCTCGGTCCTTTACACAGGTAGTCGTAGATTCTGTACGTTTTGCTATATCCAAATTTTCTGTCCTAGGGTCCCTCTCTTGACATCTGATGCAAAATTACAACCGTATGTATTACAGTTTTGTTACTCCCATGACTGAATTTCATTTAGCTTAATTTACAGCTCATGTAGTTTAAAAAAAAAGTCCTTATTTTCAGTATGGTAAAGCATTTATCCTCCTCTCTGTTTCCAACGGGACATGTTAACTGCACAAAACAAGAAAAATGGGATATATTTGTAGGTACTTAAAAGAAATGTTATGTGTTATAAATATTATTAAGGCATTATGTACCATATTTCCATGTGTTGACCAATGTTTGGCTTTGTGTACTGTCTGCTTTTTACTTGTTACATTAAAGTTGTTTTTTTTTCTTTATGAATCAGTTTTCATTCCAAGCTTCTAATTTCAATATATTTAGTTTTTTCTCTCATCAAGGCATAAAGCTTACAGTACAATATAAAGACACAATCTGAGAAATCCCAAAATGGTAGCCTTATATTTTTAATCTCATATTCACAGTAGGGGACACGCGCTTAAACTTAAATACAAAGTAAACAGAGCTGGCATGAGCAATGAAACAAAATTTCATTTGTGTTGCGTTTTATGTTTTCAGTCATGATTTACTGTTTGTGCAACAGATATACAAAACCATGTGGGGGGAAAACAAGTCCTAAAAGCTCCACTTAGCTGAAAAGACATGCATTACAAAGTTGATTGTCACATGTAACAACACTTAAAGAGAAAACATTACTAACAAAGTTCAGTAATTCATGAAGGGGTAACGGCTTTAAAAGTAGCCTATAAGAGACACTCAAACACACAGAAATTCATGTTTTTTTTTCAGCAATGGTGAAGATCTGATCAAACTGAGCTCAGAGTTATTTGGGTTAAAACTAAATCAGACAACTTTGACTGGACAATTCTGAACCAAGGCCTTCGTTATTATCGCCACATGAGGATAGATAACTAACATAAAGAACAGGGCTCCACAACTGAAATGTACATTTACGATAGGTGAAAAGAAATGTTGGCTTGTATTTAGAAAAATATACTCCCCAAACAGCACCACTCATGGTGTAATTACATGGTTCGCGTGCTACTTTAAAAAAAAAAAAAACAATCACACTTTTAGATGGATTTATATACGCTAACTCAGTTTAGTCCATCAGTCTCATGACGCCTATTTGATGACATTATTCTTCTTTTGCGTTCACGGCTCTCCAACTGGAGAAATTCATGCTTACAGTATGCGCTTATTATCCATTCGTGCATCGGGCGCCAGACTGTGCGTTTCTTCAGCGCTCTCTTTGCATTACAAATACGGATGTCAAAGGTCGTCCCGCCAGTGTCAGCAGCCCTGGAACTGCTGCTGTGATTGGCTGCGGCTCTGCGTGGCCAGAAGCTGCTGCTGCTGCTGCAGGAAGCTGATCACCTCTGGACTCCTGAGCAGTGACTGAATGACACAGACGTTCACATTTCAAGTCAAAATACGAGAAATAGTCGTGTGGATCCACCTATTTCTTTTATTGTGCCTTAAATTATGCCAGAATGTCTCCATTAGATTCTCGGTGGAAGGGCACAAGAGACAATAGCTGTCAATCCTGGTAACTTAGATAATTTACCACTGTGCTGCTGTGCAAAGCGAGCCTTTTAAAATAACTCTGCTTTTAATAATAAACTGCATCTCTTGTGGCTTTTCCATGAAATATTCATTCAGCTCGTTAAAAATTCTTGCCTTACATAATATTTGCGATATCACAAATTCTGCTTGTATACACACATCAGTGACCCTGAGCAGCTGTATGTCTTACCAGTCTTTTCTGGTTGAGGACCTGCTCTATCAGAGACGGTCTGGCAGGACGGTCTCCCATGGCACCCAGACGCTGTTTGTTCACAGACACTGGCCGTTCCTCAGAGTTTTCCTGGTTACCACAAAAAAAAAAAAAGAAACAGACAAAAACAGGCAATTAAGTGTGGAAGTTCTGTTTGTACTGTGGCTCAGTAAAGTCTGGAAAAACAGGGCCGGAGAACAGATGAGTTCATCCCTGGTAGCGAGGGTGTAACCATGCATTCTTTTAGGGGTAAATACCAATCGCCCCGCCCCCAAATATACAGTAAAATATATGGTAAATATATATCCTTCTTTTATGAACCCCGTAAATGGATGTGTCTGCTGTTATTTTCTACTTATTTTAAATGTATTTCAGACCAGACAAGATGAATCAGCATTTAGTCATTTTGCTGCCCACTGCTGGAACCAGTTTAAGGTACAGGCAGTTATTTTAGCCACTACTTTTTTTATTAAATCAGTTTCATTTTATAAAGTCTAGTCTACAATGCTTTTACTTTCATTCTGCACTTTAATTCACGTAATTGCATATATATGCATTTTATTGGACATTTTCTCTCGTACACATTTTAATTTTTCTTATTTGTTTCTGCTGTTCTAGTCAGTTTTAATCATGCTATAAAGTTTTTATGCACTTTATTCAACCTGCTTGTACTGTTAAGTTGTTAAATTAAAACTTTATCTACTGTATTTTGTATATTAACTTTTACACGTTTTTAATTCTTCACATATGACTTTAAAGCACTTTGACTAACCTTCGTATAATAATGTTATATATAAATAAATGTGCTTGATCTATCAAATTCCTTTCTTCTCAGGTGATCTACAAACGCTTAAATGTTTGAAAGTAACATCTTCCATCCCATCATTATAGATTAAAATCAATGACTCTGGCTTTATGTGAGTATTTATAAAGCTTCATCTTACGTCAAGTTTTCCACTGGACATGGCCTGATCGCTCTTCTTCTTCTTGTACTTGTCCTTATACATCTTGTTGCGGTGTTTTTTGCACATCCACGGCTTCCTCTGCTTGGCCACCTGCGTCGTGGTCTCCGTGCATCCCTCGTAGGTGCACTGTTTGGGGGCGTTGTCTCCCTCAGACGTCTCCTCGTCGTTGAGCTCCTCCGGGCTGGCGGCGCTGTCTCTGGGATCCGAAGTGTCCAGCACGTCGCTCTCCTCGTCCGGATCGTCCATTTCGTAGGAGGAGACGTTGTTCTCCGGTTCGTGCGGCGTTATCACATTTCTGCTGTCGACAACTCCGCCTTTACTCACGTAGTACCTCTGTCCGTCTTTAGTTAGCAGGAGAGTCGAGTCTTTGTCTTTATTTGCTGATGCTGAATTGTCTTCTTCGCTCATGATTGCGGTGCTCAAACCAAGTAGTAGCCGCAGCTAGCCAGCTAGCAAGCTAGCTAACTACCATCCCTTTGCAGTCACGTTAGCGAGCTAAGCTAGCTGCTCTCTGACATTTTTCCCACCCGGTTTCCTTTATTGGTAGTTAAGCTTCTTTCTGAAGGCGGTGTGTCATAAATAAATCATGAGTTGGTAATAAATGTGAAGATTTACAGCAGGCTACCGGGATACTTCCATTGGTTTAGCTTGTCTCTGCTCACACTGCATTTCAATAACAAGGAGCTTCTTCTTCTTCGCTGCGTTCACTCACTGTGTTAAAGCGACCTCTGGTGGTCACAGGTAGCACATGCAGGATATTTGACTGCTGCCTTAGATACAGTTGACTTCAAATGTATTCATACTCTTCCATTGAAGAAAGGGCAAAACAAGAAACAGAAAAAAAGCAATAATAAATTAAAATTTGATAAATTATAATTTAGTGAAATAGGACATTGCTTTTGAATTGTGGTTGAAAATAATTATTTAATTATTATTTAAAAAAAAAATAAAAAATCTGATTGAGAGTCACAGAAAACAAGCAGTGATTGCTTCAAAGGGTTGTTCAACAAAATATTAGTTTACGGGTTCCATCAACCTTGTTTGGGCCTGCAAAGTGGAGCAGTGGTTAGCACTGTTGCCTCACAGCAAGAAGTTCGCCTTTTCACGTCGCGGTGGGGTCACCGGGATCTTTCTGCGTGGAGTT